TATATAGAAAATGTAAATGTAAATGGGCCTAATGGGCCGAGGTCCAAGCCCAAAATAGAGGCTCGTGAGGATTTCAGCCGAGACACTATATAAGTGGATGAGGCCCTTCAGTCGAGGTTCTTCACACGAGGACCTCCAATCCGAGGCTCCTTTAGGCTGAAGTCCATGCTTTCTTTTAGAGGACCCTCTAAGTCAATGTCATGTCGGCAATGTGGGACCCTTCATATCATGTGCGTGGCACGTAACCTCAGCCTATTGCCTTACTGGGCTCTTTGACCTGTTGGGCATCCTTTTGGCTTTTCGTTAACTGTCCTGCCTACGTGGCGTGCTACGTGGCCTTACTTCTTTAGACCTCGGAATCGAGGGGTAACAATAGTCCCCCAAGCCTAGGTATGATTATTTATGTAATGCATAGACTTGAAAGTAAAATTAAGATAGAGCTTCAGATAATAAGATCCCCTCTTAGAGTTTCGAAAAGTAAGATGCTCTCTTAGAGCTACTGTGCTCTCTTATAGTTTCAGAATAATAAGACGCTCCTTTAGAGTTTCAGAATAATAAGACGCTCTCTTAAAGCTTTGGAATAATAAGGCGTTCTCTTAGAGTTTTAGAAAATAAGATGCTCTCTTAGAACTATTGTGCTCTCTTAAAGCTTGTTCGCAACCGAATGAAACTTGAGTAATAAAATGTTGTCTAAAAATCAAACTTTAATCCCAACTGAATGAAAGCTTAATTAATAATTATTATACATGTATGATTGCTCATTTAGTGCATGCCTTTCTTATTTTCAATAAAGGATTGAGCAATGCTATTCATCTATACTGGAGATGATTATAAGTTTATGTAGGAGTGAGATCACTTGTTCATTTTATCTAAAGAAAATAATGCAAAACATTTTTATAAAAGGTATAGCTATAAATGGTCAATTTACTACCACGGTCTATTGGAATAAATCACAATTGACAACTAATTTTGTGTCGACAAGAAACCATACTTTCTACTTAACCTACTCAGGGTTAATATCTAACTATGTTGCCGTGCATGTTTTTTTTTTCTTTGCGCCATAGAGTGCACAACATGCACATGACGCGATCGACATGCCAACTCTATTGCCGATCTCGAGCCATCATAGCAGTCTGGTAAGCACATTTTTGCCATCACACATTGATACAACTCGTTTTGGCAAGTAGCCGGACTATACAACCGGAATTTTCAGTGTGTGTCAGTCACAATTACTATCCCTATATTGCATCTCTAAGGGCATAACACATGACACGATTTAATGTTCACACATGCTTCAATCAAGTGCTAGCGTTTCAAACAATAATTAATCTTAGCCCTTGTTTGGTGGCCTTAAATTTTTTTTTTAAAAAACATAGTTTTCAATAGTATTTTGTGAAGAATGAATGGTTAAAAAGTAGAGAAATTTTTTGAGTTTACATATAGAATATTTTATCGTGTGAATGTTTAGTTGAAAATGAGTATAAGAAATAAATTAAAGTAAAGTAAAATCAAACATGGCTTAACTGTAAACCTTTTACATACATAACATTTATATGCAGTTTAAGACATGAATTTCTGACCGTCGGCGCGATGCAAGGATCTACGGATCCCCCACTCTTTTTCTTAATCCTCAAATTTTGCATATAATATAATAT